CGCTCTTTTAGTGGGAGGCGCTAAAATTAGGGGAGCCCACGCGAGTATTATAGCGGCGAAGAGAATCTCGTCGCGCGGTACAGCGCTTCCTCCTTCCAACACATTTCCAAATAGTCCTTTCAACCGATAAGACGGTTGATCTCCATTTCAGCGGAGAATCGCGAGAGTTGTAATTATGGCTCGCAGTCCTTCTATCGGCTTCTACGTGGCGCCCGACAAGCGATAAACGCGAACTTCAGTTTCGCGACTCAAATAAACGCTTCGGAAAGAAACCTTGGAAAGAAGAGAGATGCCCACTCGTCGATTGATAATCGGTCGATCGTTGGTCGGATATCTCCTCGCGGGGTGCATCGTGTCGCTGTCGACGAGTGTCGCGCAAATCGAAGGTGAGCGAGCCTGCATTTAATTATATACATATGTAATTGTCACCCGCGCTGCAGGCCACTCTAATTGGCGCAAAGGGATGCTCATTAATGACGCTCGGCAAACAGAGAAGCGCCATTATAATTAAACGTTCTTTCTATGTGGAGGCGCTTGACTGAATTATTTCATTCCAACAATTCGGTAATGTACAAAATAAAACTGATTGTGAGCTATAATACATACATGTATGTACAGAATTAAAGAGAACCGAGCGTTATATATATTGACGCGCTCCAAATTTTTCATTTCCTCAAGTATTATAGTAATCAAAGATCGAGTTTCATCATTAATTTTTGAAATCGAATTTCTATTTTTCATAAATTATCAACCTACCTTTCTTTGCGAAACTTGACAAAATTCATAAACTATCGTTGAGTAAATATTTGTCAACTTACATTCGAACTCCCTCTATTTTAGACTTCTTTTGACTGTCTCGATCGTTACACAAATGTTATGTTTTATGTAGGCAGAAAGTGCGTGTGTACGAGCAAAGCCTGTAAAGAAGCAGGCATAGGTACTTGTAGAACGAGATTCTTCTGCTACACGGAACTTATCGTGACAACGGGACAAGAAATCGGTGAAAGTACAATCACGAGAGGATGCACGGAGTATGTATATGTATAATGCTCGTCACTTTTTGCAGATTTTTAACGAAAGTTATGCATAAGTAAATACCAATTTTGTATACATCAGTATTTGAGGCTTTCTTCTCTATCACACATACAACTTTTTCAAGCAATAAATTTTCGAGAAAATTAACACTAGAGAGGTACAGATTTGTCTATCAATTATGATATAATTCTCCAACCTCATTTTTATTAAGAAGAGAGAAAATCTTCGAAAACATATATTTTTTTATCTTATATGAATTAAAATGCCAAAAGGCAAAACGTTATATATGTCTTCATGAACAGGATTTTATTTGTCGTTTTGTATAAGTTTCATCAGCAGTGTAATATAAATTCAGGAATGTATCATGGCGTGCGAATATATATCTATAAACCTTGACGAGATAATCGAACGAAAAGGTTTCCGCGATTTTTATTAAATGCCATACATTAATAAATTACCGTGATCACCTTAAACGTGGTAGTTGCGACAAGGATTCGTTCAACAAAATCCGGATATTATGTTAATAAGACTGTATGTGGTATTCATTTTCTGCATACAAGTTTTTGCAGAGAGTTCTTTTGCTATTATAAATATACGTTTGAGAAACACGAATATTTATTTTGAAACAATTATATCTTGGCATTCGGAAAGGTTTGGAGATTTTTACCTAATTAAAATTCTAATCGAAAATTTCGTGTGAAGTGACTATAAGCTGTAATCACTAATAATAGCGATTGAATGCCATACTGCGACAATAAGTATATAAAGACATCTTAGTGCACATAATGTACTTATAAAATATAACTTTAATTTTTAATATACTCGGTTTGTTTCAAAGGACTGCTGACATACGTCTCTCTTGTGCCACTGCAGATATTTTACCTATTGAAACGTTGCTTTTTAAATTCTCTTTTAAATCTATTCCTCGTTCGAGGAAAATATAAATAATGACGGTTCAGTCCCCCACATAACACATTGACGTCCAAAATATATCCGATTGGTCCGAAACGGATATCCATGGAACGTCTGTTTTCGTCCGTTGGCTATTCGTGATAATATGTACATATTATATCCTAATATTCGACTTCTATACATCCACGGGATGTTCTATAGAGTTCCGGTAGACAAATACAGATATCCTTTGAATATCCATGTCGGACCAATCAAAGGTCTTTCGGATGTCCAATGAATATCCGCTGGATATTCAGACAAAATACAGTACGTCCTCCGAATATCCGGTAGATGTCCGACACAAAAAGAGAATCAGATTAAGATGATTGTCAAACTTTTATTAACATTTTATTTTAAAAAATATTAAAAAAGATATCTTTATTTAAAAAAAATATCTGATCAAATTAGGATATCATAAGGAAATACTTTGCTATGTGGGATATTAAAAATAATTTCTTACATCTAAAAATACATATATTAAATAATAACCCAAGGACGGGCTTTGCAGGACGTCCAATGAACATCACTGATCGGGCGTCCATAGAACGTTTGTGATATGTCCACGGACGTCAAGACATAATCCGACGGACGTCTTGTTGTACTGTGTGGGCCACTGTTGTGATCTCGAACAAATACGTTGCAACTGGAAAAATTACAAGATCGTAAAAGTTGTATTGTCTCTCGTGCGATAGTTGAATGACATTGTTAGGTACCGCGCGTAAGCGCCGCTGCGTTAGCTATATCGGCAACGCGGCGACGGGTGAGTTCACGGAACTTTATCAATTGATGTTTGCAATATCACACGCAGGGGTGCCACGCCATTGTTGTGCGAAACAAAGTCCTGGGTCACGAGGTCACGATCGGTCAACGCCATGGAACTGTCGACAAGTCCTCGGGTTCTCGTGCCCTGGCCCAGATTGAAATGTTGCAACAGTCATGACTACTGTAACGCTAACGACGACGACGACGACGACGACGACGACGGCGACGACGACGAGAACGCAAGCACATGGACGCACGAAAGAAAGACTCAGATAGATCAGACGTATTCTACGGTAAATCACGAGACGCTGATAGATCATCTAACGTCAACGAATCGTCATACAATGTTAACGTTACAACCTGATCGAAAGTATGAGGATTCGATCGAATCAACCAATCGACTTCTCCAGAATCGCATCAAAGCGCTCCACATCGCCGCTCTTGTCCTTGCTGTCGCAGTCCTTATATCCGTTCTCGCATCTTGCTATGTGATTACAAGGTTCGTATATATTTTTCTCACATCTACATATATGTACGTATAAATTAATAAATCTTTATTTATACAGTTGATTTTAAAAAATATGATCTCGCGCGAAAAGAAACCAATATTGAATTATTATATTTTCTTATAAACTTATCTATATACTTTAATATAGAAGAAATATTAAATAAAATGTGCATGTGTGTTGGAATTTTAAAATCAAATGAAACTAGAAAATGAAAAAGAAAGGATTTTTGTTGCAATGTAAAATAAATAAATAAAAGTATCTATTATCATCTCGAAATATGTGTGTCACTGTGCGAAGAGACGATACATTATTAACGCTATATGAGATTAATTCATGCTGCCGCCAATTAATATTGGATATAATTAACGATCGGCGAAGATAAATCTATTCGAAAGTAGCCTTGGTAGAACGCAGGGACCACCCTGTGTAACAGATGATGAACATCTGACGTAGAGGACTCGTTTTTCTCACGTGGAACAGCAAATTATTTCGAATAGCGGATTTATCGAATAGCAAATCCGCAATCAAACACTTCTCCTATCAATATATTAAATTGTTGAATTACGTGCATACTAGTATATATCACGTTTGACTACACGCATATACGCCCGCGCGCGAGATTGCGGTTTTATAAATTACATTTAATAGTTGCTTCACGAATGGGGAACTCCTCTGGTCTAATTGACAGCATTCCTCTGCATTTAGGCCTGTTCCTTATTATCTAGAAACTATCCAGTTTCCTTTTCTTCGGTTATTCGACCGCACTTCCTCCCGGGGTAGTTTGTCGCGATACACTAAAAGCCGCCCTCTTATCAGTCTACCTCTCGACGAGGGGCCGATCCCCAGCCTTCGGTTCCTTCCCCATTCTGAAAACCGTAGATAGCATGGCTTGGAGGCTTCTCACAGACCTGCCCTCTAATCTTCATTCTCCGAATGGTTAAGTGGGTTTTCGAGTTCGGGACGGTGTTTCGGTCGACCCATCTCATATACACCTTAGTAAACGCGCGCATCGTTAGTCTCTTATTCTTTTTAACTTGGAGTGGATGACATCGTGCGCGGCCTCCACAATTCGTCTTTATCATCTTTCGATTTCTTCGCGTTTACCACGTTTAATAAAAAAGTGACTGAAGCGAATCCTTAACTCTCATTTTTGAAAGAACGTTTTATCTATTGTTCAATTGTGCAATTTGAATTTTCATACATCTGTCGTAATCGTAAAATATAACTGTGGCTCTAGTTACAAATGTATTTAATTTAACAAATACTAATGATAAGACAAAAAATAAATAGGTACTGTTATGATAATATATAAAAAAATATTAATTTTTTTTCCAGTATGAGGATATAGGTACAACGTCAACGTGACGTCAAGCTTTTTCTATATATTGCGCAATATTTAAATGAATTTAATTGAAACCCATTGAAAATTACATAATCACATCGTTTTTCTATCAATTATAGAGACATTGATTCTAATGTGTAATTTAACCGAGTGTCACCAAGTTCTTAAATAATGGATTTCTTTAATCATCATTGTATCGCGAACGATCGTTCCAATTTCACGCCTTTTCCGTGCCCGAAGGATTGTTTTCCACCGCATCATTCACGGTTTCTATCCTCATCAGACATATGTATGTATATCCGAATAAACCTGTAAGGAGTTGGGACAAGATCCGGTTTTAAGTGGATCGGAATCTCCGGCATCGTGTGTATCGAATCGATTTTTGATTTCGATCGTGATTTATATACAGGAAGCTCAACGAGTTACCTAAGGATACCGTAACGAAATCATTTTTAATCAGATATCAATTTGTGAACACACATACATTTACTTTTTATCAGATATAATCTAATACCAATAAATCATAAATATATCCATCTAATATAATTTACGATACTTAACTTATACGAAAATAAATTTTGTATGACAGATGCTGAAAAACGATAAAAATATTAGATACTAATAAATATTTTATTGTATATTATAGATTCGTTCGAAGTAATCGTTATATAATGGACACGGTATAAAACTGTTGGTAAATATGATGCCGAAACTTACAATTAGATACATTGTGATCCGATGGAATTGTGATTTTTTTTTCTGAAGCGGAATAAGTTAAGATACAGGTAAAGTATAACTATTATATCTCATTAAACAAGATGTAATAGATATAAATAGATATAAACTTGGAATTGCGAATACAGTAGGAATAGATCGATATAATATATGCATTGCGCGGGATGTAATTACCTATAATATCTTTTATTCAGAATAGATCTCTTAAATGTATATACTTGTTTGCGCTCAGGGATATACGTACATAATTCTCGTCTCGATCGTATGCCGCTGATCGACTTAACGAACGGAAAATATAAATAGAAACCGACCGTGCGGGAGATAACTGCTGCCGACAGGCTGGCCGAGTCGTGTATTAAAGCGATTTTTTGTTACGTTCGCTGGATATAGCTTTCAAGTTCCAGCAGTAGCGCCGACACGGTTGTCGGATCACGAGCGATCGAGTATCGCGCGCTAATAATATTATCTCAACAGACACTATTAACCCTTGACGGTCGAAACGACCGATAAACTGTAACATCGTTGAATCTTGAATCAAAATTATAGGCGCAGCTGTCAAATTTGCTTTAATCCGTATTGCATGGTACAATACATAGATAAGGATCACGATTATTATTTAAGATATATAGTACATCTACCCCTACTCGCGCACGAGAAAGATCTTTGCAATTACGAGTATATCTATGCGCGGAAAGTTGTAAGAATTGAATTTCCAAAATCTTTTTAGATTTTTTAATCTTTTAACAATATTTTTGCTACATTTACGCAAAAACGCATGGCACTTGTCGATGCCACTCGGAATGACGCGAGTTAAACAAGATATTGTTTAATTTTATTTAGGGAGTTTACAACTAGATACCGCGGGAGGAGAGAGAAGTCTGAAAAAGCGACGTCACCCAAGTGACGAACGACTTGGAGATGCAAGATCTGACGTGTGTGTATTTGACGAAGCTGTCTGAAGAGTAAATCAACTACCTCTGCACGATGGCATCCTCTTTGTTTTATATCGTACGGTGACTAACGGTGGGCCATGTAGCTCAAATTCCCCGGTGGGAGCCCCTCGAGGGGCGATCAACATGCCAGGTGCCCCGGCCCTCCTCCACTCCGGCCGGCCGAGTCCGGTTGTTTCAACGTAATTAGTCATCCTCCAGGTTGCCGAACAGGCGAACACACACGTACGCATCTTGCCGATCAAAGAGGAATAACGTATGTGCGCGTCGAAAGTCCTACGCCCAAAATGCTTGGTCACCGTGAGAAAGAAGTTTCATCCGGCCAACACAAATAAACGAATTGACGAAGACAGAGACACCGTGGCGTCTCGCGACGAGCACGCAGTGAATCCTCTATATCTATAACTTGTGATTGCGGCAAATTTTTCAATGTGTACGTTACATACGTAAAGAATTATTATCAAGAAGAGTACAAGAATATCGCGTACTTGCGTATTTCAAGTCACATCAGCGATTACTGTATACATGTATAGTTGAAAATATAGAGATGCGTATACGTACTAGTATAATGGGGTGTCCCATTTTAAATAATGCATTAAAATTTCTCGAAAACTATGGTTCGGAGGGGGACATAAGAAGGTATCATTGATGGCGTCGTTGGATGGCGTCGTTAAGGTCAGGTCAAGATCACATTGACTTTTTTAAATGGAACACCATATTTTTGATGCCAGAATTTAATAGCTGGTGTCCAGAGCTTTTTAAAACACTATATAACAAAGTTATTTTTCATCAAGTACTTTTCGAGTTATAAGGCTCGAAAATTACCACCCAAGGTAAAATCAATGGTACCTTCTTATGTTTCCCTCCGAACCATACAACTTTTGTTTGAAACGTTTTTCCGTATCTACCATAGTTTTCGAGAAATCTTAATGCATTATTTTATTAAAATGGGACACCCTTGTATAAAAATTTTATATAAGTCTAATTGAGATTGTATTGATATTGTAACATAAATTGTATATGAAAATTAAATGAATAATTGAATAACATATGTATCGTAGTAGTGAAAAGGTTCCGTCTAACGATCGAAAAAGCAGGGAAAAAGCAGGCAAATTAAGAAACGTACATTGTGTCGCGTCGCGTCGCGTCGCGTCGCGTCGATCGCACCACTTTGGCGCCGTCGTCATCGTCCCCTTCCGCGCCGCAGCTGTTCTCACCGACTTTCCGCTGACAAATCGCACCCATACTATTTCGCGCTCATTCGCGCTACTTAGACACGCATGGCGTCGCGACTCGCGGCGTCGCGTCGCGTCGCGTCGCGTCGACCGAATGCCGATCGGATGTGTACCGTTTAATATATTAATCTAAGTTAATGTAAATAGCGTGCCACGTACGCTAATCGACTTGGAAAAATAATTAAATTCCGATGCCAATCCGATCTCGTCTTTTCGATACATAAAATATATGTATATATAACAAATTTCCTCTCCTGGGTTTTACAGGCGAATAGAGTGTCCGAATTCTGTGCAGAACGGTAGATCTAGACATTTATTTGGCACAAAGTACGAGCAACTAGAATCTAGAAAAGTGTACGTAGATTCTCAAGAAGAGCGGAGAAAAATAATGAGCTGATCTCTCTCTCTCTCTCTCTCTCTCTCTCTCCAGTCAGCTGAGTGCGGCTGCATATCTCTGGGTGTAGGTAAACGTAAACTGTGTAAGTCGAGCAACCTGGACGGTAACGAGCGGTCGGTGGTAGCAACGGAATGGCTTTTCTTTAAAAACATTCTTTAAAGACATTCGAAGCGAACCCTCTCGAACCGCTCGGCGGGTGCACACAGCACAACTGCACAGGCCGACGCGACGCGCCGACGCGCCGACGCGACGCCGGCTGAGCGCCGAGCGGTCGGAGCCTGAGGGGCCTGAGCTGGTTGGACGGTCGGAGCTCGGAGCGCGACTGTTGTGGGGTCTGTGAGTAGTTGGTAGAGGTGAGTGAGTCAGTTAGCCGCAGTTAGCCGCTGGATATCGTCCGAGTAGCGCGTCGACGCTCCATCCTGGTGTACTTGCCTTGGTGCACTTGTGGCGTCTTCGCCGATCACGCGCTCGCGTGATGCGCGCCACGGTAATCGATCCATCGATCCTAACAACTCAACAACCGATAACTTCGACGCTCTAAATTCGAGGGATTCCGAACACATGCCCGAATTTTGGAAATCCATTCAGTCGGCGGTCTGTCCTGACGACGAACACGCCGGGTCAGGGAGATCTTGAGAGACTCTCTGCACGTGGCCGACTAACCGTCTCGGATAACTTGCCGAGATTAAATCGATTTAAGTAACAGCGTTCGGGAGAATCGATCGCGTTCGGGATGTTACCACGCGACCTACTGACTATCGCGATGATGACGACAGGTCTCGTCGTCGCTGTCACCAGCGGTGCACCTACAAATTCGGATGCAGAGGATTACGAGATGCTCGCTGACAAAGACGCGCAATCTACCGATAAAGGTAACGCTGGGCGTTCTATCTATGATGCACGAGTGGGATTTCTAATGCTTGAAAATTTACGCATATTACATGCGCTAGTTATACCTACCTGTCTTAACCAACTCACACACACACACACACACACACACACACACACACACACACACACAACTGACTTAATTTTTATATACGCCCTCTCTTGAGCGTGCGATTCTTTTCGCCATCATTATAAACGCGAATTGCGTACCGCTTTTCCATTGCGTATGTTACGCTTTTCAGTGTGGCGCAATTAAATTTAAAAACAAATTTATCGAGAGATAGTGAATCCCTCGTTTTGTTCTTTTCAGAGAGACGCGTCTCGGTCTCCTTTCATTATTTTAATACGGATAAATAATAGCGTACGTTTTTAATATCTGTTACGTTGCTAAAGTAAAGGCGCGATATACTTACTTGCGTGCGAATGATCGCAGGAAACACGGCGCGTGCACGTGCTCGGCATGCTTGTTTTACTAATTCTCGTGAATTTAGTAAGAAAGGACAGCGGCTGTCGCATTAACTCATGCGATTGTTCACCTGAGAGAACCAAGGATATAACGAAACCTTTTGCAATTCAACAACAACTGACAGCGCGCGAAATATTACTTGTAATAGCAACGAACAAACGTTTGGTTTGAGATAAAAAAAAAACAATAGAGGATACGCACGCATACAAGTATTATAAATATCCATAAGGAATATACGTATCTGCAGGCGCAAGATAAATTTTCTATCGGCTCGTCAAAGTGGTTCTTTTCGTAAGAACGTTCCGAACGTAAAGCGAAAAGCGAGGTTCGAAAAAGTCAAATCGTTAAATTCGTAAGCGCGGTGTATGATGTTGCGCGCGCGGCGAGGGGTGCAGGTCGCCCAAAAATACTCGGCGCCAAAGGATCATTTGTCGAAACAATTTAGTTGGCAAACAAACGAAGGCTATTACGCGACAGTGTAAACTAGCTATCTCGGGGAAGGAAAGGGAGTTTCGTCGGTCGTTCGTGGAATGTTCGACGCGAGCAATGAAATCGTTTACTCGAATCGAGCGCGAGCGAGCGGGGCGCTACGTACGTAAAGTAAATGATTCATCGATCGATAGATTAACATCCGCACGAGAGAAAGCCTAGGAGCCTGCTACGTAACATCGCGCGCTCTCTTTCTCCCCTCTTGTTTTCAACTTTGTACAATGAACCGCATTTAATAATTGTCAACTAGCTTAACGCACGCGCGTACAAGTTGCGTAAGTTTTCTTTAGGTTCGCTAAGCTCTGATTGAGCGAGATCATGTAGTTTAATAACGCGTGATTTAACGTCATTTTCCACATAATTTCTTTACGTGCTTTACGACTCGCGGATATTCTCTCACGAGTATTCATGCACGAGTGCGCACCTGTAAGGCTGTAAGAAATATCATCGATGTAAGACAGCGCGGGATGCGAGCTAATAATTTTGAAATTTCGTTTTCGTCCTCGTTCACACGATAGTGAGACTGGAAAGACGATAAAACTCATGACGGGCGCCAGCTAGACGCGCGGATAGTGCGCGTTATACCTCTATATGCATGATAAATACCGACACGCTTGTTGCACGCGTAGCGTGCACGTTGTTGCATCACGTCCGCGTGTCGTATTCTTATTTTCTCTTTGGATAATCCGAAAATCCTACGAGTTCACACTTGAACCTGCAGGCTCAGAGACGAGAGAGACACGGGACTGTCTCTTTTTACACCAAATCTATATAAATTTATACCAATCGCACGTATTTAATATTTATTTTTTTTTAATTAAAATAAAAATTTAATTAAAATAAAAAAATCTTATTTGTAGAAAATAAACATTAATTAGCAATTTTATACAATGAATACATTCTGTTTCAACATAAACAAACGAGCTCCGCATGTATTCCTGATTTTAGAAGCTAAATTTCTCGACTGTACCAATACTTTTTGAGCATCCAAACGATACAATTTTTAATTTTCGCTTATTTTTCAGATGATATATTTTCTATAATTAATAGATTAACACACATCTTTTTGGTGTATATAATTTTCAGAAATATAGTCTATTTTATTCTTTACGAATAAATTGTTAATTACCCAGGAAGAAATGATTGTCGATTAAATTGACGTTGGAATCATCGTGTCGATATCGATTCGACATCAATTCGACATCAATTCGATGACTCGCTGGATTTCTCTCGCGCTGGATAATATTTACTTTTTAAAAATAGTTTTTTAAAAAAATATTTTCTGTGTACGAATATTTTTCTCACTCACTGTAATATAAATTTATAACTATAATCGCGTCGAGAGACGATCGTCGCGTCGATTCTACGCATCCTCGCAACAAAGTTGCAATTCTCGACAGGTCGCGAGGTCGCGGTATGTGATCCAAATGTGTTCGACGAATCGCTCGTTGAACCATCCACGTATAACCGGGCAGTTATATTTATATCTGATACGATTACGAAGGATCGTCTTAGATGTTGGAGCGTATAGGAGATCAAGTGTCGATGGCTAACAACGAGTCAAATTGTCATCTAGTCTCGTAGATTCCGTAATCCGCGCAAACGCAGACTGATGTGACCGTAATGTGTTTTCCAATAAGGTACTCTGCAGGGTAACACAGTGATCGTTTCATCTTTGTTTAACGTTGGCAAACAACAATTTAAGGATGCAATGAGTCACCGTGTCACTGGAGTACACTGGATCCTTTGCTGGAAAGCACCCTCTGATTGTGAGCGACGTTCAGTTCGCTCGACAGCGTCGATGAAAACGATTGAAATTTCATGTTTTCGCAACGCTGCATATACGTATACATGTATTGTACTAGAATCGCGATAGATTGAAAAATGATACTTTCTCTTATCTTTATTATTTAATTCATTACGCCAAGTCGTATAAGCTTCGAGACAATGACGCGTGTCTCAGAATTGCTTGACAACAGGCATTGCGATATCTATCTCTTATTTTCTATCATATATGGATTTCGGAATGCGGGAGCGAATTACCATTGCAGTTTTACGTACGATATATAAAAAAAAGAGACTTGTACTAATTATGTACTGACACAATTCAAATCAAGATATTATAATTACGTTTACGTATAAAAAAGCGAATGTGCAAAGGGGATGAATTCATCGATGATATTATCTTTTGTAGATGATTGGTCGAAAATTTCGTTTAATCATATGTTTCGATCTGCACCGTTACTCTTCATTACGTCGCCGTCGCCGTCGCCGTCGTTGTCTTTCGAGTGGCGAGTGGCGCGACACGACCAAAAATGCGAGCTCATCGACGCCAACGACGAGAGCGGAGCGTATGCACGCATACGGCTGGTTGATCACTCACACACGCACGCTCCCGCGTACGCTCCTCGTAAGAGTCGTAAGAGTCGTAAGTGGTCGTAAGTGCCCACGGCGCGGTGCGGTGAGGTGCGGGCGACTACAGCTGGCGCACGCACGCACGCACGCACGCACGCACGCACACAACCTCGAATCGGTGGCGCCTGTCGGCAGTGTCGGCCACACGGATGTGCATGCGTGCGTGACGAGTTTGTACCTCTTTGGCTATGTACATACGTCCCATACATAAATACTTGGCGTAGTCGACTACACATATGTGGTGTCCCACGAAGCGATCGCTATGCCCGGATTCGTAACGATGCGGTTTACCCCGTCTTCGCGGAATTTGCTCAAGGATTCGTAACGATGCGAAAATCGAGATCCCCGACGTTACTTTTTAAACAGTACGTTTCTCGTTAATTTCGATACGAGTCGACAATCTTTCGCCAGAATTACATGTATCGTCTATCAAATATGTGACACGCGTGTATATATAAAACACGTTTTATAAATTTTTGCCACGACACCTTCAAATGCTTCTTTATCGCGTCTACATTTTGCAAATAGTGTGGCGTACAGAAATGACGTTATCGCTGCCGCACGTAACGTCGCAAACGCCATCGCATACGCATAACGCGTGTAAAAACGTTTACCGACATGCAACAGTATACTGACACATCTATACTTGTCTATTATCCAGATTTTTTTATCGCATATGATGCGTGTAAAATGCACTACAGGCCGAACAAACAACTTGTTCTTTTCGCAAAACGAAACACGCGTAGTACATCTATCTTCAGGGAGAGAGACCGGTTTTTGCACGCACGTTTTTATATATATATGTGTGTGTGTGTGTGTGTGTGTGTGTGTGTGTATATATACCGAGTTGATCGACGTGGAATTGTACATTCCTACCATTAATTAAATAACCTACTGTTAATTAAGTTGGTGGAATTACGACGGATATAAAGGCATGCTCACTGACTAAAAGTCACCGCGTAATAGGCGCTTTCGCCATTGCAAACCGCATCCAGATTGAGTAAAAACAACTCGACGAACGACACGTAAACCGTATATAAAGTTAACGACTCGTTCGATGGCCGCTGATGCAAGTTTTCCGTGTAGAATGTTTCTTCGTCGATATCAAGAGTGACGATGCGTTAATTTACCGTAAATATTCGGAATGTTTTGGAGTATTCTTGGAATGTTTTTTGGGGATTTTAGGAACAGTTTATGAATATTTCAAGAATATTTAGCGTTTGCTGGGTGCTATCATTGAAAATCTCTTTACACCATAAAAAAGATTTTCGGATTGCAATGCTATTTATATTCTTCGATCTACATAAAATAGGATCGGTATAGAGACAATTATATTTATCGTTAACAAAGGAATATTTTATAATATTATTCTTCAACGGAAAATTCGTAAATCTAGAATAAAATGATGTTAGACATCAGTTTTACGTCAAATACTATAGCATCGTGCGCATTATTGTAACATTGGGTAAAGATTTATTCTAAACGTAAAAATATAATATATAAACTTAAATTTATACGGTGGTGTTATACTCTTGTCTCAAGACAAGAAGTTAATCTTATTTAATTCGAGGGAAAGGAATCGGAATATTATTGATTTTAATCTTAATATCGTTT